TGGTCAAGAAACATCGGGTAAGATAAAATGACGTCATCGCGGACGACGTCTTTTATCGAAGTCGGAAGTTGAATTTTTTTGTTTCCTTCTAGAAAACGAAGAATGGGAGATAAGGCCGTCAATACTGACAAATTACTCTATGACAAAATCCTTGTTTCTTATAGACCACACAGCTTGGTTGATTACATCACTTCCTGCGTTTGTGCATAAAATCACTTCCTCTTCGTAGAAAGAAGAAAGGGGGGAGAGGGAGGGAAAAAGAAATCCGGTGAAAATTCTATCATCCAAGGTTGTATATACGGCACGCGTTTCTGTCTCTATAGCAACTGGATGAGATAGTAAAAAGCATCAGACCGTAATAAGTACAGGTTGGAAGATTTTAGAAAAACGAATTTTCTGACTTTTCGAATGAGAATGAGTTTATTCTCACGATGAATTTTCTAAGTTGCTTTCTTTATTTGATGAGAATTTTATATTATTTTTTCCTTAAGGAAAATATATAGGTATATAGCTTAATGTATTTAATTTAGTTTTTCTACACTTGACTATCTAATTTCTATTAGTTTATATTAAATGCGAACTTAATTAAATTATTTTCGATAATTTTATAAATCTTAGATATTAATTTATATTTTATTAAATTAGATTAACAAAAGGTAATTAATTGTTAATCATTCCCTTTTTTTTTTAAATTTAAAGTAAAAGTTAGAAGAGTGTTTTTTTAATTAATTAATGAATTAATTAAAATATCGATGAGATTGTTTAATTAATCCTTTTAAAATAATAATTAAAAAAATAATTAAATCTTTTAAAATATTTTAGTAACGTCTTAGGGAAGGAGGGATTAAAAAAAATCACTTGTAGTAGTAGCATTTAACATCTGTAACTTAAAGCATTTAACATGCTTTAAGTTACAGATTAATATTTTGAAGAGAAACAAATTTAGTCAGAATAAATAACATAATCATTTATTAAGATTCAGTTACAATAAGTTAGATGTTAAAAAAAAATAATAAAATAAAATAAATGATAATTTAAAACTTTCTTTCTGTTGGTTATCTTGTCATTTTGGATAAATGTCTGTTTGTAAAGTCATCTTGTCAGATAATATAGAACAGGATAAACTGGAAATTCTTGGAATAAGAAAGTTTAAAAACTTATATTTGAATATGCTTTGGGCCAAAGCGAATGAAATAACTCAAAGCCATTTCTCGGATGATGTTGTATAAGTACAGTAACTTACTTATTGAGGTGTAGATTTTAAAGCAAAAAAGAGACACCAGTATACTTCAAAAATGTTAAGAAAATATTCTAAATATTAATAAATAGTGTAAAAAAAATATAAAAATATGTTCCAATTTTTAAACTGAAAAATATATTTCCTGTTCTTGATCTATACTTCATTACCTATGAAGGAAGATAATGAATGAAGGTCGTACTATACTGACTTGTTTTTAACTTTAAATCTAAACTTTATTTTATATTTTCGTCACGTAGATCCGTTTAAGATTTAATGAAACAATTCTTATGTAAGAGAAGTAAGAGAGGTAAGTTAAGGCGTAAAACATGCCTAAATTTAAATTCAAATAAAACATATAAACGTTCATTTAATATAGGAGGAAAATATATATATTTCCCTCCTAGGCGTAAATAAATTGTATTTTAATACAAGATTATTCTTAAAGTCTAAGGAACGTTTACCCTTCTTTATTTAATGACATATCTATAAATTAATAAATCATAAGAGAAAAAATTTTTTATTGATTTATAACGATGTTATAACCAACCGCAAATTAATAAAGTTTGGAAATATATATATAATTAGATATTTATATAGTATGGAAACGATTATAAAAAGAATGTAATAGTCAAAATATATCATGCTGTAGACCATTTGTCAATCGCTTATCTTATTTATCTAATTCCTTTTCGGACCAGATGTCACATACAAGACATCTAATTTTATATCGAAACTGGTTTGGTAATCTTGAAACGGGATAAATGCTTAGCTAGGTTGACGTAACAATTTTACTTTCACACTTTACGCTACTTATTAGGTGATGTACCTCGTGACTGTTTTTCAAAACTTGTTATGAGGTTTCTATTGACATAACTGCTTAAAACTGTCTTAGATATTTAAAATGTCTTTCTTTTAAAAGAATCTGACATTAAAAAAAAAACAATACATTTTTTCTAAATCTGGCATTGGAATAAAAAGAAAACGTTTGTAAAAAAATACAGGTAACGTGATAAAAGACGAAATTATACTAAAATACAAATTTAAATGCAATTGGTTATTTTTAAATATTTAACGAAAATTTCGACCAATCAAATAATTTCTCGATATTAAACGTAATCATGCGCAATACTGTTAGGAATAGTTCTATTTTTCTTCATGATGTGGCGCTGTAGTCGAAACAGATAGGTTAACATTTGGCTGTAAGTGCACCTAACATGAAGTCTTATAAAAAATATAATGTTATATATGAAAAAATTAAGTAATACATGAGATGTTTTTTAATCAATTTTAAGATATAAAAATAATTTAAATAATAAAATAAATACATTACATTTTGTAAAATATATTGTATCTGTAAGTGTAATAATAAGATTTTTGTAGAATGTAACGTCAGGAGTTAATCCGATTTGCATCACACCAACACATCGGAGAGTGGTGGTGTAGTATAACTACGGCAACACCTCAGTAGATAGAATGGATTATGATGTTAGACGGATTGAAATATCTGCGAACCGGGGTTGGTCTTGGAGTCCGTAGACCTTAGTTGAGCACGTCCCTCCATTTCTATCCCCCTTTTTCCGATGACATTTTAATAATCAACCAACACCAGCGCAAGAGGGGTAGTGGCCAAGGAAAGCTGCGCTTTCTGATTGGACGCCAGCACGTGGTTGGAAGGGGGCTGGCCTGACTTGCACCAAGCGCCACCGCAGAAGACTTATGTGCCATGCATTGCGATCAATTGTACACACTCCAAGCGAGGTATAAAAACGTGGTGTGTAGTCAGAACCTACCAACANCCTTTTTTTTTTAAATTTAAAGTAAAAGTTAGAAGAGTGTTTTTTTAATTAATTAATGAATTAATTAAAATATCGATGAGATTGTTTAATTAATCCTTTTAAAATAATAATTAAAAAAATAATTAAATCTTTTAAAATATTTTAGTAACGTCTTAGGGAAGGAGGGATTAAAAAAAATCACTTGTAGTAGTAGCATTTAACATCTGTAACTTAAAGCATTTAACATGCTTTAAGTTACAGATTAATATTTTGAAGAGAAACAAATTTAGTCAGAATAAATAACATAATCATTTATTAAGATTCAGTTACAATAAGTTAGATGTTAAAAAAAAATAATAAAATAAAATAAATGATAATTTAAAACTTTCTTTCTGTTGGTTATCTTGTCATTTTGGATAAATGTCTGTTTGTAAAGTCATCTTGTCAGATAATATAGAACAGGATAAACTGGAAATTCTTGGAATAAGAAAGTTTAAAAACTTATATTTGAATATGCTTTGGGCCAAAGCGAATGAAATAACTCAAAGCCATTTCTCGGATGATGTTGTATAAGTACAGTAACTTACTTATTGAGGTGTAGATTTTAAAGCAAAAAAGAGCCATCAGTATACTTCAAAAATGTTAAGAAAATATTCTAAATATTAATAAATAGTGTAAAAAAAAATATAAAAATATGTTCCAATTTTTAAACTGAAAAATATATTTCCTGTTCTTGATCTATACTTCATTACCTATGAAGGAAGATAATGAATGAAGGTCGTACTATACTGACTTGTTTTTAACTTTAAATCTAAACTTTATTTTATATTTTCGTCACGTAGATCCGTTTAAGATTTAATGAAACAATTCTTATGTAAGAGAAGTAAGAGAGGTAAGTTAAGGCGTAAAACATGCCTAAATTTAAATTCAAATAAAACATATAAACGTTCATTTAATATAGGAGGAAAATATATATATTTCCCTCCTAGGCGTAAATAAATTGTATTTTAATACAAGATTATTCTTAAAGTCTAAGGAACGTTTACCCTTCTTTATTTAATGACATATCTATAAATTAATAAATCATAAGAGAAAAAATTTTTTATTGATTTATAACGATGTTATAACCAACCGCAAATTAATAAAGTTTGGAAATATATATATAATTAGATATTTATATAGTATGGAAACGATTATAAAAAGAATGTAATAGTCAAAATATATCATGCTGTAGACCATTTGTCAATCGCTTATCTTATTTATCTAATTCCTTTTCGGACCAGATGTCACATACAAGACATCTAATTTTATATCGAAACTGGTTTGGTAATCTTGAAACGGGATAAATGCTTAGCTAGGTTGACGTAACAATTTTACTTTCACACTTTACGCTACTTATTAGGTGATGTACCTCGTGACTGTTTTTCAAAACTTGTTATGAGGTTTCTATTGACATAACTGCTTAAAACTGTCTTAGATATTTAAAATGTCTTTCTTTTAAAAGAATCTGACATTAAAAAAAAAACAATACATTTTTTCTAAATCTGGCATTGGAATAAAAAGAAAACGTTTGTAAAAAAATACAGGTAACGTGATAAAAGACGAAATTATACTAAAATACAAATTTAAATGCAATTGGTTATTTTTAAATATTTAACGAAAATTTCGACCAATCAAATAATTTCTCGATATTAAACGTAATCATGCGCAATACTGTTAGGAATAGTTCTATTTTTCTTCATGATGTGGCGCTGTAGTCGAAACAGATAGGTTAACATTTGGCTGTAAGTGCACCTAACATGAAGTCTTATAAAAAATATAATGTTATATATGAAAAAATTAAGTAATACATGAGATGTTTTTTAATCAATTTTAAGATATAAAAATAATTTAAATAATAAAATAAATACATTACATTTTGTAAAATATATTGTATCTGTAAGTGTAATAATAAGATTTTTGTAGAATGTAACGTCAGGAGTTAATCCGATTTGCATCACACCAACACATCGGAGAGTGGTGGTGTAGTATAACTACGGCAACACCTCAGTAGATAGAATGGATTATGATGTTAGACGGATTGAAATATCTGCGAACCGGGGTTGGTCTTGGAGTCCGTAGACCTTAGTTGAGCACGTCCCTCCATTTCTATCCCCCTTTTTCCGATGACATTTTAATAATCAACCAACACCAGCGCAAGAGGGGTAGTGGCCAAGGAAAGCTGCGCTTTCTGATTGGACGCCAGCACGTGGTTGGAAGGGGGCTGGCCTGACTTGCACCAAGCGCCACCGCAGAAGACTTATGTGCCATGCATTGCGATCAATTGTACACACTCCAAGCGAGGTATAAAAACGTGGTGTGTAGTCAGAACCTACCAACACCTACACTGAACCGTGAAGGACTTCGACCACACCCCAAGATTATGCTTGTGTTGTGAGTCTGATAAAGTGAAAAACATGGCTTTAGATACGGACCAACAATCGTCCGAGACTAGGCATTTGGACTCACCAGGTAGGCCAAATTCCGCCCCCGATATGGACAGTTCTAAACAACCTACTTCATCGGCAGCATCTTCACCCACTTCTGTACAAACGCTCAAGTTTTCTATCGAAAAAATACTTTCACCGGACTTCGGTAGAACCGTAAGGGAGAGTTCGGATGATAGTAGCAAATCATCAGGTAATAATAACAAACACTCGTCTTCAACCGGGGCAGATGCAAAGAAACCAGCCATGCTCTGGCCAGCGTGGGTCTACTGCACTCGATACTCTGACAGACCATCATCCGGTATGTAGCTTTGTTTTGGTTTTTCTTTTTAATAATCTGCTCGATTCTACATTATTATTATAAGTAGCTATTTGCAGTATTAATCACATCTTGCGCTATTTCATTCTATAAAGGTCTATTTATTAACGTTTTAAATTCATATTTCAGTTTGTAAATTGATTTTTAAGTTTTATTTATAAGTTTTCATAAGCCTATAATTGAATAACTCAATAGGCCTATGAGTTTAATAGCGCTAGGTACTTTTTGATAATTACATAAAGGCAAATTTAGTTTACATTTAAAAAAAATACAAATTTATTTCATTTAATTAGACTATAAATTAAATTCTATTAAACTTTTCGTCGTCATTCAGATAGGCCTAAAAGAACAAATGATCAATTTTTAAATTATATTAATGAAATAAATCTGGCCTAATATTTAGAATAGTTAGGATATTATAAATTTTCTTTGAGGGAAATTATTACTTGTTCCATATATTTTCAATTAATTTGAAATAATTTGATTCTATTTACCGATTGTATAGAGTAATACGAAAATTCTTAATTAAAACATTGGTCTTGAATGATTCTTATCGATAGGACAAGCTAAAAGATAGTCTTGACAATAACTAATCTTAAGGGAAAACAGATTTAATCTGTTTTACACAACAAAATACAGTTGTAACAACACTTGCATTCCCTTTCGCATCTTTTCTACATGTTCCATGTTTTCATTTCATAAATTCTTTTAAGGGAACGTATAATTCAGGAATGGGTGGCCCACTACATCAGATAAAATTAAATTTATTTCTATTTGCTGTAGTTTAATTAGATCATTTCTATAATCTGAATAAAATGTAACAAAAGTTTTCTTCTTTTAAATTTATTATTATTATTATTATGTTTTTGACTTAGGCCTGTGCAAATAGGTTGGATAATTCTTTGTGGCTTAGATGATAATGTATCTTTCGACGTTTGAAACAACCAGAAAGGTTAAAACTTAAATAAATTAAGAGCAGTCATAGCTAGGTTAGAATTTTCCCAAATTATAAATTAGTCTTAGAGAAAGCCAGAGGCTAATTTTAAGTCTAGTTTTTACGTTAAACGTCCCTATTATTTGCAGATAGAGGCTGTTTGAATTTCTAAACATGAGGAGTTGTTACATTTGCATTCACCCCAGGCTATCTTAGACCAGTGAGTATAATACGACTATAAAACTGCAGGTTGTTGTGAACTTTACCGCTCTTTGCCACCGAAAATAATTCAAAAGCATAAAAAAAAGTATAGCTTCGACTTTAATGATACTAATCAGATTTACTGTTGATCCCTGACCTTATTTACTGTAGTAAAATAGAAATTGGGATGCAGAAGTGAAGTTTCTAAAGGTTACTATCTCTTCGAATTCTAACTTCAACAAAACTATAGCTGATTTATTCGTTGTTTAATTAAGAGTTTGTTTTTTAATGTTTGAATTTGTGGTATCAATCGATATAGGGGCTCTAACCAAGCCTAACGTGTTTAATAACATCTTAGTTTGGAAGGTCTGTCGTCATGTGTTGTCTACACGCGATTTAATCGATTATTCGATGTAGGGAAACGTTTGTTAAGTAGGCCTCTTCGATCTATAGTGAGGGTCCATATCTGGTTGGACGTCACACCCATTCACAGGGCTTTTCTCTATTTAAATTTCGAAAATCTTATACATTTTACTTTTAATTTTCTAAACTTCATTCTCATTCGTTCAGTTCTTTTATTGTTTTCATTTCTGCGAAATTAACATTAGTTCAATATTCTTTTATTTTCAAATAGGATCTATCGAGTTTTACGTTAAATATTTTTACATTTAACTCCTTCACGATATAAATTTAAAGTCTATATTACACTACTCTGTATCAATCACTTTCACACTAGGCCTGTATCATTTTACAATTTTATGTCGTTTTATTCTATGCCTATTTTTCTTACGTGCCTTCAGATCTTTATAATTTATAGGCCTAATTTTAATCGACAATCTTAAGAAGTTATCGAGAATTTAAATACAATTAAACTTTTATTATTTTGTTCTTTTTTTTTTCTTTTACAAATAAGAGAAAGAATATTTTTTTAAATATAATAAAGTTGTATTTAGATATTACCGAAAGTTATGAAAAAAAATTATGTTGTTTAAAGTAAAATAGTATGGTAGCATTCAAAATGTAAGTTATGCCTTTAAGATGCTTATGTAATCTATGTAATAAATATAATGGAAAGTTATCGCAATCTAAGAAAGAATAGTCGATATGGCAAACTTATATGAAAGATATATGATGTTTTGGTTTAAGTAAGGTCCTTTGCTCGACTAACTTAACTCAGATATTGTGCAATTTATAACCAACTTTAAGATATCTTAATAAATGAGCCTGTCGCTGTAAAAGAATGCCGTATAGGTTTTATTTATTCCGAACATGTCCCCTTGGGCCTTTGGCCTCTTCCACGTCATTGGAAAGACACTTTTCATAAAAGAGGACCTCTTGATAAACCGAACTATGATTCTATCAACGACATGTTAAATGGTTTTTACCTTTATGATAAGGTGCTTATATCTTAGAAACATTCGGCAGTTGGGCCAAAGACATTCAAATCTTAGCTTTTTTACAAGGAAATTTATCAATTTACGTAGACTTTGAGTAAAAAAAAGAAGAAAACGAATTTAAATCACAACGGGGTAGGCCTAAATTAATAGAAATTTAATTAAAAAATCTAAAAAACAGTTGTAATAGAACGTATCATTTTTCACGTTAAAATTCTTAAACAATTTGTAGAAATTTCATTTAAAAACATTTTTAAAAAAAATCCTTTGTAAAAGCGGAAGATTTCGAATGCAAATTATCTTCCGTAGTGGAGCGATGAAAGTCATTTCAGTAAATTAAAGCGTAGAAAATTGAGGATATATTGCTTATTTAAATGCATTTAACTGATAATTCATAACATTTTGTGGAGATATTCGCAGCATATCTAATTAGATGATGACAATTAAGTGTTTGCATTTTTCCAAGATAGATTAGGGACAGGTCATTGAATCTTACACTTTTACGCTTTTACTACCTGATTTATAATAATGACATCCTTCTGAAAAAAAAAAATTATGACTTATAATATTATAACCGTTACAATAGTAGGCCTAATATTTAGATATTATATAAGCTTATTTATAAACAGGCCTAGAGACAATTCAGTTATTATTATTATTTCATCTAAACTTCTTCTGTTAATAATTCTTATTGTTTAGGAATATTTTAGATTTATTTAATTATATAAATTTATACTTACCCGTAATTATGGTGTTAAATAATCTATAGGCGACAATATATACCTTAAGTTATTAAGAAAATATTAGGTAGACGAGTAGCAAAACGATACTATTTTGTAACTAAGAGATAAATACGATAGGTTATCACGCAGACAGCTGCAAGAATTTAAAGATGCTCTGCTTTTTCCTTGAGCATGTCCGCTGGATAGATTATTGAGAAATCATTAACTCCTATACAAGGGGCAATTAGTCGCCCAGGGCTTGTTGACTTAATGGACGAAATCCACGACAGTTTTTACAATTAGTAAATCTGTTGTCTGACAAATTACTCAAAATGTCATTATGTGTAATTTGCATTAACAGATCGTTACTTTATTTTTACATTATTGCCAAGCTTTGAAATGTTTTTTTTAAGTTTTCATTGAGTATTATAGATCTATATCTTACTTAGGAAAAATTGTTAGGTGAAAACAAGTGAAATATCTAATTTATTTTTTCTAAGATTCAATATTTAATGAAATATTATTACGATTTCAATCTCTTTTCTTTTTAAGATTAAAAAAACTATAAAAATTTTGCTATTAATAAAAGATTATATGACTTTATTGTTACACCGAGGTGTGAGAAGGACGAAATTATAAACACTTATTTTATTCGTCTTTCTACTTTTTTTTATTCGAAAGCTTAAGCTTTTAAATTTGAATTTTAAGACATTTTTAATTCTTAAAATGTTATATTATTGTATATAATATATAGCTTAGATTATATCAAAAAACGAATTAATAGTTTGAAATCTTTGAATTCTATTAATATAATGTATCTGAAATTAAACAATTATTAGTCTAATAATTTTTTTTATGATTTACTCATGAATTTTAAGTTTTTTATGAGTAGATTTTCATAATTTTAACGAGCTTTAAACGTATTATTTTATAACAATGTTCTTTATCATGTTAACACAAGCTTTACTATAAACTGTACTGATATATATATAGGGCAATTCTATATAAACTGTTGTTGATCAATAGGCCTAATTGTAGACTACCTACGATGTGATGGAAAATTACGAGTTACAATTCTATAGGATCACAATCTTGTAAATGAGGTTGAATTATTCGTCTTTTATTTATATTAAATTCAATTCTATCATATTAGTTAAATATTTGAAAAATTAAAATATAGGTTTATTAATTAATCTTATGTAATTTTTCCGAGTTTCAATTTTTATTCTATTCTTTAATGTATTTAGAATCTGAATGTGACTATCGCAAGCCTGCCTGTATATATCAAAAAGGCCCTAAAGTTTATGGATATTATAATTAATTTTTGGAGTTCCAAAATTCAAATTAATTTGTTAATTTGTATCATCAGAGTCAGTCTGAAGTAGTTATCTCTTTCAGAACCTAGGCGTTTGTCCAGATCCCGTCAAGCCAACTCTAACTACTCAGGTTCGTACTTCAAATTTTACTGACTCTTAAACTAAAAAAAAAACAAATGCACCCGGTTCGATAAGACACGAGGTATAAAGGATATATATATATTTTTTCTGTTGCCTTTCTTTAAATAGTGTGTACGGTCTTTTTGGTATAATTCTCTATTAGCTTTATACATCAAGTAGGGTCTATTGAAGTGTGAGCGGTATCAAAATCGATGATGTTCAAAAATCTAGTTTGGAAAGTCTTTAAAATGTTTCAGTTTTGTGTCGTCGAAGCGGAAAACAGGTTAGCAAAGTCCGTCAGCCCACCAATGGAGGCCGGAAGATAAGCCCTATACCCCGAGGGATTCTGTGATTACAAGTTTGTTCAGTGAGGTATAGAATTGTTTTGTTAACGAAGAGACGATACTAATTGGTAGAACTTAAAAGCAATCTTAAAATATATATTACATTTCATTTTTTAATTCTACATGATGATTGCGTGATCCACCCAATTAAGTTTAGTGGAATCATTTTTGATTTAATATCTACTAACATGATGTAGGCCTAAATAAATATACAGTAATGTATATATATATGTGTGTGTATACGCCGTCTTAATGTATTTAAGATCAGAGAAATAGATACTATAAAAATAAAATATTACTGTAATAATTTTTCTTTCAAAAACGGTTCCACCCAAGACGATTGAACTCTAAGAAATACTTCGAAGTGTATGCAATCCATATAGGTAGCTGTTACCAGCTGCTATAGATGTTCACATCTGCTTCTATACTCGCCTATATTATTATTTTCACATGCCGATCCAAATTATAAGGTGTACGTGACATACTGGATAAGGTCATTCGTCTGTGACTTCCCACAGCCGTTTTTGATTCTCATCTTTCGATCGGTGGTGCTACTGTAGCCATTCAATATTTGAGAAAGTCGCTTATATTCACTAGAAGATCAAGTACTGGGTGTATAGTATTGGGTTCGATTAGGTTTACTGGTAAGTTGTAGTGTACAAACTCGGTTAATAGAGTGTTGAGTGTAAGTTGGTGGACGAAATTACGAGAGATTTGACATACGTTACGGTTTTTGAAATGATGAAATTTCTGTAATACGTACTACTTGTTAATAATCTAGATGTAAACGATCCATTCAATCGTATCGCATCAAATCATCTGCCTGCAGTGATAGGGACTAGACATAAATCTGTAGGACCTCACACACAGCCCTGTACAAGGGACCATCGTGTGAGGTCCTTCTTTAAAACCTTGGGCGGACCACTAACTAATTTTGATCGATCGAAAACTAAGAATGAATAAACTAAATAAATAAATGTATACGTTTCCTATATTTATATGCGAACTGCTCTTTAACGTAGAAGGGGTAGAGTCAGGAAATCGGATTACGATAGAGCATGCGCAGTTATCTATGTAGGTGAAGACAGAAAGATGGATTGATTGTACCTTAGCTGGGGAAATTGGTGGGTGGCGTTCGTGAGTTAGAAGGTATTTCGTGTACTACTATTCTTAGGAGAAGGGAAATATGCGGTATAAGATTTAACTATGCGGTTTACAAACACGATAACTTAATCAATATGGTCAGTGAAAAAAGGATTGTCCTCTATGAACTCGACTTATAGAAGCATGATGCGTGAAGATAGTCACGAATGGTTCCATCTCAGGACCAATCGGTAAATTAACTTTCTACGATGGCCACAAACTGCAATGGACATCTCAACACCAAATCTGCGTGATTGACTAACATTAGCGTGCCGCTTTCGATTAGAATATAAGAATTTATCTAAAATATTTTGTTCATAAATCTTGTCGGAATTTCTGTAAATACGATTGAAATACATAGACTTGTAGTGTCAATGGGTGGAGTTATTCGTATTACATTACAAAATGTGATTCATTTGCTTATTTTTTCACTCCATTAACTTCACACCTTACTGAAAGTCGAAAATTTTTGACCACACACGACCTTTTGTCGCCACACTTCCCACCTGTAGTTTTATCTCATTTTTCTGAACCTTTCAGTGATGATACTTTAGTTGAAAGCGTTTGTGGGTGTCCCTTAACATCACTTCTATTCACTATTGTGTCAATGTTAAATTAGGCCTAATTCCTCTTCAATACCTCTGTTCGCAGGTAAAAGTCATCCCATTGTTCCTTAGAGATTTAAAAGTGAGAAAAGGTAGGTAAATATCCACCTACTATTACTCTCGCCTCATTGGCTCACTGTTGTAGTCACTTTTCCTTTTCAGCTTTTGAAAAGCATAAAACGAGAGTCTTTGCTCAAAGATCTTAACGTTTTATTTGACTTTTAGAAGAGTTAATGAAATATTACGTAGCTCACGAATAAGCACCACCTCCAGAAAAAAGAAAAAAATCAATAATTCTAATCGATAGTAGGTGTTATTCTTTATTGAAGAGGGTTAGAGATTATTAACACCTATAAATTTGGATAAATGTCAGCAAGATCCCCAAAACGAATTTATTAAATTACAAAGTACTATAGTCCTTGTTAGGCCTGTCATGTTGTTCGACAACTACGCAAAGTAGAAAAGATTAACTCTGTTAATTTTAATAAAATTACATTTATTTATGCTTTAAACGAAATTTTCGAAAGGTATTAAACACAGTAACAAAACAATAAAATTTAGTTGTTACCATATGTCGTAGAGTACAGAATGTTTCCTGATTTTTAAGTTAATGCCCCTAATAAAATAATAAAAAATAATATTCAGAAAACGTTATCCAGCTAATTAATTGGCCCAAATTTTCTCGATAGATGTTACTATCTGTAGATTATATTACGAGAGAACCATCCTTTTGTTCCTTTAAATTTTTGTATAAGGTAAGAGGCTATCTACTTATCCTACAGGCCAGCTCTGTTTGAAGAAGGTTCAGAAGAGAATTTATCCACTCACAATGATGCAGCTACCGAATCAATTGTCCAGGCGACGTTGTGTTGAAAGGGCTGTATTTCACCTTGATGTATTGACATAACCTGTCTTTACTACGATAGGGCATGGTTTTCCGAGGTGAACAGCTAGTTTAGTTTATTCCTTTCTGCACACAAAGTGTGACGAATAAATCACGCACTCGCTACCAGGTGCTAGATGCTCCATACTATCAGAAGATAAAGCGTCAATCCCACGTTCACAAAGAAGTAACACACTGCAAAAGGTTATATTTACAAACAGTACGTATAAGTCTATAAGCCAAGTAGATCTTATAATCCTAGCTTAGTTACGAATACTGAAAAATTACCAATTATTAATTCGGAAATTCAACAAAATTAAATATAAAAGAGAGAAAACAATGTTTACGTTTAATATTGATGTAATGGGAGGGAGTTAGTTTGAAAATCATTTTTCTACGATGCTGACGATAAATTGTCTTTCTCCCGCAGTTTAATTTCTTAAGGAGTAATATAGAATTAATTAAAGTAAATTATGTGGAAAATAGTAGAATTCAATTACAAAACTCCCAACTCGTCTGGATTTAATTGAAGGCGTTAGAAGGGCAAATGGCAAATGACTCATCAGGGACGAAAATCTTGTACAGGAATGAGTAGAGTTTTGTGATGTTAGGAATCAGACCACGTCCTCTGCTTTTCCGGCAAATCCCCAGGAGTACAGTAAGGAAGCATGTAGACGTAGGCCGCCTAAAATTCGTTAGGTTTAATAACCCGGAACGTAACTCGACGGCGACTATCATTCTACTTGCAGTTGTTTCTCTTATTCCAAATTAGGATACTCAGTCAGCAAAAGTGGAAAAGCATCTCGACTTGACTTTTGCTCTTGAGATTTCCCAATATAGGCTTTATAGATCTGCTACAAAATAAGAAGTTGATGGTTTCCAATGCGAACTTACTTTCTCCAAAGGAATTAACATCGTTTTTCAATCGTTTTGTCATAGGCCTATTTCTTTCAAAACTGATTTTAAGTCGTGTTTGTCAATGCATTTTATTCCAATTGTAAAATCGTCTTTGCGATAGATTTATTTGTATTATTATTTTTTAAATATCTAAATATTTTTAAAACAAACTAATAAATTTATATAATATAACAATTATTTAATTTATTAATTTAAAATTTTCATTTAAATTATCTAAAAACAGTTACTTACAAGGTTTCTTTTTTGGACTTAAATTACTTCTAATAGGAAGTAATTTTCATTCCTTCCGCTTAAAAAATAAAAAAAATTTACTCATATTAAATTAAAAATTGTTAAATTAATTTGTAGACAATAATGTTAACTCTTGATTTGATTTATTATTTGATTATTTTAAGCAGATTTTAAATTAGGCTATAAATTCTTATTTATCAGTTTATCATCTGAATTTTTTGAAGTAGAATTTTAATTAAAGCTGTCCTCTCCCTCCCCCTTTTTTTCTGTAAATTTTTAAATTTTATTCTGATCTTATTTTAATTAAATTTTTTTTTCTTCAAATTTCAAACGTTTCAATAGTTAATTAGATACAATTTCCAGTTTAATTCGGGGGGCATTTCACTTATAATAATATGTTTAATTTTAATTACAAAATTTAAATAATTACCAAATCCGGGATAAGAGTTACTAAGTAGTTAATTTTAGTTAAACATCATAAAATGTTAAAAAGTACCACCTACAACGACAATGCATACATAATGAAGATATCTTGTTAGAGAAGTACACTTGAAAACTCGTCTGACCAGTTATATTTCGGTTATAGGAATTAAATTTCCCTTTGGGATGATCAATTGTAAATAGGCAAAAGCTTCCATTTAATGTCTGAATTATTGCATTCATTGTAATTCCCTTTTCGGATTTAACAACATCCCAGATCCTCTTTACCACACCCTTTGTGTCACAGAAGCGAAACGACGAACCATTAACCAAATGAAGATATGAAAGACCAATTAGTGTTTCATCTACCTTTCCTGAAGGATTATAAAAAGTGGAACATTAACTATAGTTTATTTAATATTCTGTCAATAAGTTTAAACGATCGATAAATTTTTTTTTTCTCTCT